CCCGCCCCGCCCCGCATAGGAGTTAAACCCGCATTCACCCGCCCTGCACTCCACCCACGTTCACCCGCCCCGCCCCGCACCCGCATTTGTTTTTTAAAAAATTCTTTCTTTTTTAGAAAGCTAGACTTAAATCTGATTTTTTTAATAAAATAATTAATTATATCCAAATTGTTCTTAAATTCCCATCTTTTGCCTCTAAATCTAGTGTTTTTTCCTATAGAACAATTAAACTCCACCCTCAAATCCCATAAATCACGGCAAAAACACATTAAATAAATAAAGACAGACACAAAGTATTTCCCCGTTGATAATTGTGGAAGCAGCAGGAAAAAGTGTCTACATCGAACTTGAACGGTTGAGCCTAACTTTAATTATCACATACGACAATAACACCAACAATTCACTCACCACTTATGAAATAGACTTGAGAAAGTCTGCTTCTATACAGCACTCAGAAGTTTAAGTTAATTTATATCATATGATGTAAATAATAATTACAGAATCAGTTCACTTTTGAGGTAATTATAAGCAATTTTTGTATGATAAATAGTAATAATTGATAACTTGATAAAAAATGATAATTAACATGATATCATAAGTTAAAATAAACTAACAATGTAAAAATTATTTATATTCGTTTTCTTCTTAAGTACTATTTATTTTTGGCTAAACTTAGGAGAATAAAGGAAATGTTGAATGTTGCAAACCTGAGAGCAGAAGGCCAAAGAGCAGAAGGAAATGTTGAATGTTGCAACAGGGAACGTCAAATTAAATCCCACCGCGACCCGCCCCGCCCCATTGCCATCCCTAAATATAAATGGAACACCAGCCAGAGGCGGTTATAGCTCTTGGCTCAATTTTCTCTGTCACACGCATAATATTTGTATGTGCGAACGAATATCTGCAAAAAAATTGAAAACCACAACACATACTAGCACCTAAATATATACATATATGAAATAAACTGCACCACTCCGATTCTACCACTCTTAAGTTCTGGGTCCTTACCAACTGCTTATTCTGACATGTACCCACTGCCTGTTTGCCATAGGTAGTGAATATTTCCTGAAGCCTTTATCCACAGAGTGTTGTGACCACGGTCAGCTACCTAACTGTGATTTGTGATGCTGTTTGGTATGATCTAATTTACCCCAAATATGTGGACGACAGAAGTTTGATATCAATTTGCAATGTATCAGCAAATATAAAATACCAGATGACGTGTGTTCTCATTATCAAGTTGTCATTATAGAATCCCATGCTGCACTCCATACAAACGCTGTCCAGTCATGTTGTTCAAAGTGATGGTGTAACTGTACATAACACCACATGAATAGGATTTATGCACCTTTTCGAGTTTTGCTAGGCCAAACTGCTTTGGAAGGGAACAATCTCCTCCCTTTTGAGGAGTCTCGTGTAAAAGGTTTTAACAGAAAAATTACCTCCTGGGTGTGATGAAAAATTGTTATTCAGAATTTATACTTTGCAGCATTCTTAGAGCATAATAGAAACATGTCGCACTTAGATTACTAGCAAAGATTAATAAAGCACGTGCATGAATAGCTTTATAATTGGATATTAGGAACTACAAAATTATCTGCTGAAGCACCTGCTCTGCTGATGCATGGGATGGTGCTTAAGCTTGGAAGTCAATGATAGTAGTTATCGTTGGGAGGATGAAAGATGGTGACTTATTGGGATTACGTATTTCAACGGGCTTTCTGTGTTTCTAGAAGTCATTAAGTGTATGTTTGGTAGCTAATATACTTTAAGGGGTAATCCTTGTTTCTAGAGGACGTTAAAGTGATGCAGGGTGGCTGGTTAACATTCAACGGAATTATAAATGATGGGACCATGATGGAGTCCTATGTTTTCCTTTTCATCTTTTCTTTTGCAACTAGGTTATGGTTTTATTAGCAAATGTGCTTACGTAGTGTTTTTGTTTTCTTTACAAGAATATTATAAATAAACTAAGTGAACCACTGATTTTGGTCCCCAAAACCAGCTCCACCCATTAATAGGTTCTATCAAAATAAGAAAGTAACCAAAAATAGTGGGAAGTTGAGAAATGGTGGAAAAAGAAGATAAAAACACATAGATCTGAGTATGGAAGGTGGAAAAGTGGACGAGGTAGGTCTACAGTCAGTCACATGTAAGGGAAGTAAAAAAACTCATATAATCTCTCTGAAGTAATTATACTTTCGCAACAGATTTGTTGTCCAGATTTGAGGGAACTGGACAGTCTTGTGAAATCTGAATCAGGCAGGATGAGTTAGTGGGACCTAGGGTTCAGGAAGGAATGAAGGTTTTAACCCTTGTCTAGTTAGTATGCGAGGTGTGGGAAAAATCAGCACAAAAGGGCCAAGCATGTCATTTTGCAAGTTTTTCCGAAGGGATACAAGGCTAACCGCAATCTAACTAACTCCACTCTGCAAACAAACAATTTTACGCAATCTAGGTAGTTGTCAATCTTGATTTGATTTTGAGTCCCCTCTTATGATGGGGTAGGAGGAGCTTGAGTTGCTATCACAAGTCTAGTTTTGTTAGGAATAGGGATAAATTAGGTTATTTGGTTTTGGAGGATGGAGGCGGTAGGTTGAGGAATAGAAATAGGTTAAATATGTAAAGAAAGGGACTAAAACAGCCTCTCTACCTTCACTGGGTAGGGGTATGGTCTGCGTACACACCACCCTCCCCAGACCCCACATGTGAGAATATACTGGGTATGTTGTTTTTGCTAGGTAGTCGTCAGTCTTATAACACAACCAAATAGTGGATGAGTTTTACACACTCTTATTGCAGTCAGCTATCAGAGTATTTTGTTGTGCAAAATATTTGTATGGCTATCCCAAAGTATTTATGTTGTAGGAGTTCAAACTCTGCATGTGCTTGGACAGCTTAGACTAAGCATTGCTGGGTTTTCACCTTTCTATTCCTTGTGATGAAAGCATAAAGCAACCATCAGCTTCTGCGACAAAAATACTGGAGCCAACTCAAATTTACAGGAGAAAAAGAGAAACAGGAGCAAGCGATATGGAGAAAGAGGAGATTAATCATTGCGGCGACACTGGTCTGTTTCTTGCTCATCTCGGTGCAGTAGCATTAATCTATTTCTGCCTTGGGAAGAGACGTCCTATTCTTTATGCTCATTGAGGCCTGGAAGGAACATTGATGGTTCACAAATTTAAAAGCAAATGATAGTTATTGCTGCAATAATTGTGTCTGCCCCCCACCCCCACCCCCCAAAAAAAAAAGTAAGAAAGAAGAGGATACTAACTTTAAGGTATCGATTTGACAATGTGCAGGGGCACTGTTATTTTTCGCACTGCTAGGCCTATCTGGTTGCTTCATAACCTGTTATGATCGAAGAGTGCGCAATGATTTGGCTCAGCCTTGCCGGGAGTTGTGCCTATGTTGCTGTCATCCTGGGTACACAATCTCGACTCTTATTATTCTTAGTAAGCTTAACACTGCACTCTTCTTCCTTGTTTCTCTCGCCCATCAATCCAAGAATCGAGAATGAAGGTTAATCCATGCAGAATAGTTTTTTCTTTACATGCACCCAAGGGTGTGGCTTAGTGGTCAATGAAGTGGGTGAGAACTATGAGGTCTCAGGTTCAAATCCCAGCGGAGACAAAAAATACTAGGTGATTTCTTCCCATCTATCCAAGCCTTGGTGGATAGAGTTACCTGGTACTTGTTGCTGGTGGGAGGTGGCAGGTATCTCGTGGAATTAGTCGAGATGCGCGCAAGCTGGCCCGGACACCACGGTTATAAAAAAAAAAAAATAGTTTTTTCTTTACATCACTTTTGCACTCTTGATAGACTGCAATATATTCAAAAGTAATTAAGCATTGTCCATAAAGCAATTAGTATTGTACTCTTGTTTTTTATGACTGGTGCATCATTGTTATCTTATGATGCGCTTGCAGTATGTGTGCTGACTGTCATTTGCCTGGAACACTTTGTATGTGGACTGATTGCACAACCTGCTTTGAGGGTTGTGCTGGTGCCGCCAGTGAATGTGGAAGTTGCTTAGGAGGTGCCGGTGAAGCTGGGTTGCCACTGATATTTATAATGGCTTTAATCGTGCTAGGACTATTTACTGTCATCGGCATATTTTACAGCGTATTGGTTGCTACAATGGTTGGACAGAGAATATGGCAGAGGCACTACCATATACTCGCAAAAAGAATGCTAACAAAGGTGAGTTAACCCTAGACGTGTTCCTTTTATCTGCTCTACACTCGTTCGTTTTCATGAACCCTTTTTGTTGGGAGGTGGTTCATTGAAATGTTAGATACAATAAATCCTCGCGAATGTGGAACCAGTCATAACTGGCTGCATGATGAGTACTACAACTCTTAAGATGTTTATCAGCAGCTACCTAACAATATGTTTCTTGCTCGTTTGAAGGAATATGTTGTGGAGGATGTCGATGGTGAGGTAAATGGTAGCGATTGGTCTCCACCACCTCTGCCACCGGAGCATGTTCAGCAGCTGAAGTCACTTGGACTTTTGTAAACTTTGAGGATTTTGACATGAATGAAAAACTCCATAATATTGGGGCTCACATCATGTGCTTTAGTATAAGCAAGATCTGCAAAAGTGTCTTCTTCCTGATTAATAGAAAAATGCGATTCAACCCGATATTGTTCAATTATGTTCATAGTTTGAGACTGATCACATGTAATTGTTGACAAAACTGATCGTTAACAATCTAAATGAAGTAACAGCTGCAATGTTGGTTTATATGTTTCTTTCAATCAGCCCCTTGTAGTAAGTTCTCTATTGATACTTATTTCTGTTTTGAAGGTGTTGTTTGGCAGGGGGAACAAGTTATCCCGAAATTATAATGATAATGATGGGATTGTAAAAGATTGAATAAATGAATATGTTTTTATTGGAAGGTGTTTGGTTCATTGGACTATAAATGGGATATATCGGGTATAATAGAAACATGTGTTTGGTATATATTAGATAAGTTGAGATAAACTTTTATTTTCATTTTTAACCTTGGATTGTTTAAAAGACTTTGGGGTAAGAGTCTTGGAGAAGCCTATCTCGAGATTAATTGATTCCGGGATTATTATCCCATCCTCAATGTGAGATAGAATAATACCCAATGGTGGGATTAATTAATTTTGGGATTGTTAATCCTTGATTCAAGAAATGGAACCAAACTCGGGATAAAATAATTTTGCATCTAATTATTACCCTGAAGGATGTATTTGGGCTGGAAATGTTTCTCCCTTTCTATTGTTTTACTAATGGTTCTAATGATATACTCCTAACTACCCCTAATAATATCAGTTGGCTGATTGGCTTATTTGTCAAATCTTGATCCGTAGTAGTTGCAGAGATCTTGTAGATATTACTTTTGCTAAATTCAGGACAAACCATGTGGTCTCTCCACGTGCACTTCGTATAGATGGAAACATGTGGAGTGTCCTTTTTAAATTTCATAAAAGAGAAGTGAATGTTTGCTTGTTGATTGATATAAAAAATTGGTATGGTCTGATCTGTCTAATCTACCAACTATGAAGCCAAACTTGGTTTGGACTTTGGTTATACTGAATTTGTGTAGCATATCCAAATGGGATGTAGTCATGTATAAGTGCTGCTTCTGAAAAAAGATTAATCTACCTGCACTCTCTAGATACTCAAGCTTTATCCATCTTTAAAATTGATCGGTCTAACTAGTTTTCGGATTGGTCATTCAAAAATAGCCAGCGTTTGCCAAGTCATTGAAAAATAGCCACTATTTTGCTACAACAGAGACCGGTCCAACATAATAAACTGGAGTTCAGTGCACCTGTGCATGTACTTTCAGCATATTATACTGGACCGGTATACTTTACTGGCTCCAGTATAATATACTGGAGTTCCAGTATGCTTTACTGGAACTTCAGTATATTATACTGGAGTTCCAGCAAAGTATACTGGAACTCCAAACTCCAGTATAATATGTTGGAGTTCCAATATACTTTGCTGTAACTCCAATATAATATACTGGAGTATTTTTCGGATTTTGAACAATGGTTTCGTTCAGATTTATCTTTACATGAAAAGTAGCTAAATTTCGATGACTTTTGAAACTGTGGCTATTTTTGCATGACCACTTGTAATCTGGCTATTTTTGAATTTCTCCCTTATCCATCTTCCAAACTCAACCAGTCGATCAGTTTGCGTTTCAATTACAATCTTGTTGTGAATCATAAGAGTCTCTATGTCCAGCTATATACAGGAGGGAAAATTACGTGACACATCAAAACCCTTATACAATATTTACCATTCGTGGCTATAGTTTCAGCAAATTTATCATTCATAGCTATATTTGAATTTTATAGCAAATCTATGAAATGAGAGATTAATTGTTTGAGCTGAAACAAGAGAGCAACAAGCTCTCGCAGTTCAACTGGTTAGAGGGCCCGCTTAGTTAGCGCAATGAATACAGTCAATACCAGAGGCGTAACCAGGATTTTGCGGCAAAAGTTGCACGAGGCGCTCTATTTGGTCGTCCTTATTTAACCTATACCCACTTTTTAAAAAAGTTTTTAACTTGTACCCACTTTTAAAACAACTTCAGGCCTCTTTCTCCTCCTGCCTCTCCTCCTTTGTCTTCTTCTTCTTCTTCTTCTTCTTCTTCTTCTTCTTCTTCTTCTTCTTTGGGTGACAATGATTTTATATGGTGATTGTGAATATATTTTAATATAGTTTAGTTTTACAATGGTGAACTGTTATGATGCTTTATTTTTTTTTTACTATTCCATATGGTTTCTTCTTCTTATTTTTCTTAATTGCAAAATGGGTTCACTAGATTTATTGTTGTTTTGACAAATTGATAATTGAGATTTGTTCTTGATGATATTTGGAGGTTATGTTTCAAATTTGAGCTCATTTGGAGTAGATTTATGTATTAAATAGTATATTCGATTGTTATAATTCGAAGAACAAATTTCTGTTTCTACGCAATTTTCACTTTAAACTTATTGACCTTAAGTGAATGAAAATGTTTGTTGCACTTCAGACTTTTTGGTCTTAAGTGCATCTGAAATGCAATTCTTCATTTCAGACTTATTGGTCGTAAATGTAGCAAAATATTTGTTGCACTTTAGACCTTTTGGCCTTAAGTGCATCTGAAGTGCAATTCTTCACTTCAGACTTATTGGCCTTAAGTGTAGCAAAACGTTGGTCGCACTTCAGACCTTTTGGCCTTAAGTGCATCTGCAGTGCACTTTTTTACTTCAGATTTATTGGCCTTAAGTGCATGAAACTATTGGTTACACTTCAGACCTATTTGGCCTTAAGTGCATGAAACTATTGGTTACACTTCAGACCTATTTGGCCTTAAGTGCATCTCAAGTTCAAGTTTTCACTTCAGACTTACTGGCCTTAAGTGAATGAAAACGTTTGTTGCACTGCAGACTTTTTGGCCTTAAGTGCACCTGAAGTGCAATTTTTCACTTCAGACTTATTGGCTTTAAGTGCATCTGAAGTGCAATTTTTTTCACTTAGGACTTATTAGCCTTAAGTTCATGAAACCATTGATTGCATTTCAGACCTATTCGGCCTTAAGTGCATTTGAAGTGCAATTTTTTCACTTCAGGCATTTTTTTAACTTCAAACCCGATAAGTCTGAAGTTGATCGTAAAGTGGGTACGCTTGCAAACTTTTTTGCAAAGTGGGTATAGGTTCAATTGTGACCCCAAAACCGGGTATATATATAAAATCCCCAAGATGGGTGCACCACTACCATTTAAGTTGATTCTTTAAAATTTTGCCACGACAACAACGTGACAAGTAAACAACAATCAATATTATTACTACAAAAATGTATCATTTCTTTGACAAATGTCTATGAATAATTTTCCTACCTTGGAGAACTATCAATAGCTCTATTAGTAAAACGACATAACTGTCACACCCCTTTTTAACCAAACTTCACTAAACTATCTTAAATAAATAAAAAGATTTAGCAAAGCTCAAAAGGGTTTTTAATTAAAACGTGACAAAATTGTGTTCAAAAGGAAATAACTCAGAGTCGCCACCTGACTTTGATTTCAGTGTGCCAGGTCACCGTTTTTCTTTTAAAATGACTTTTCCTTTTAAAACATTTCAAACTCTAAAACTAAGTCCGCACCAGAAATTAGGGTAAGGGGATTCATTTGACTCGGGGAGAAGGTGTTAAGCACTCCCTGAGTCCCGTAGCTAGTACGGTTGCGTACATGATCAAGTTGGCTTTTAAAATATTCGAATTGGGGCGAAAAACACAGAAAAAGAGCAAAAAACAAACACACAAGAGGCTCGAGGTCGTCCCCATCTAGATTAAACAAAACAAGAAAATAATAATAGCCTATAATATATTCACTCTACCATGTCCGTCACGGCCTTCAATTACATTCGCTTAGGGGCATACCCCTGATAAAAGAACGCAAAAATACATATACAAACTCTACGGGGCATTCCCCTGATGAATTTAACTAAGGGAACGACCTCTCGCCTCAAAACTAACCAAAATCCTAAGGCTTGCCTACCCAAGTGAGGTCGGCCTAGACATACTCCTAGCGATTAATTTAACTAAAAGAGATAAAACAATGTAGAATTCATGCAATATCCGAAGTTCTTTGGCTTCATCAACATAAAAAGAATAATTTTCCTTTGTTAATTAACCATGACCAACACGTGTTATGTCCATTTGATATTTCCCTGCCCATCTGCTTTAATAATTCATGTCATTAGAATTTATCCTACTTCCATTCTTACCCAACAAATACAAATAGGAATGAAGCAAACAGACAATCCATAACTGAACATTTATCACATGAATTTCAAGTAGCAAGTAAACTAAGCACAATTAAGCATAATAGAGAAATTAATTAAAATAAGTGCTGAAATAATGTCAAATTTAAGAGGAGAAAGAGAAATGAACCTCGACCAAACTTCCGAACGAAAAATAGCAAATCCCTACCGGGACACTCGAACGGCGATCAACAATGGTAAACTCGAAACAACCACGGCTCAATCAAATTCCATGTTCAAAACCAAAATCTGAAGAAAATGAATGAAGAAGCAGAATTTTCTTTTTTTTTTGTTTGTTTTGTTTCTGATTTAAAAATGAAAATAAAACTTGAATTAAGAACTAATCTCAAGTTATTTTCATTCTTTCTTGTTTCCAGATTCTGTCCGATGGCTGCTGGAGCTTTTGCTCTCTCGTTTCCGGCGAGTTTGCCGGCGATGGGAGTGAGACAGAAACGAGAGAGAGAAAGAGGCCGGGGTCTGCTTGGAGAAGGGTTGGCGTTCTGGGTTCGGAGTGGATGTCGGCAGCTCTGAGGTGAGGGACGGTGGCTGAGGTTGGAGACGAAGCAAAAGGGGTTGTTTGGTGGTCGGAGAAGCAGCAGCCGCTGCTGGTTTTGTTAAGGGAAAAGGGTAGTCGTCGCTGGATTCTTGGAGATGGTGAAGTTGGCGTAGGGGATTGCGGGGGAAGGGAGATGCGGCTGGTTCCTCCTTTTTTAGTTCAAGACTAGGAATGGAAAACCTTGGGTTGAGTTTCTATAATTGGGTATTTTATATGAAGGTGGGAAGGGATGATGACCATTGGATCACAAAGAAATAGATGGCTAGGATTAAATCTTGCACATAAATGGGCTAATGGGTTGGGAAGAATGGGCTAAGAATAATTGGGTTTAAGTTAAAAGAAAATGGACTCACACCTTTGGGCCTATAAATTTTCTTGTTGGACAAAGACAAACTCAAAAATCCTACC